TNAAAAATAAACATAGTAATTTTTAAAAAAACTAAGATTACTTGATTGATTATGCAATTTAAAGAATATTTTTAGCGTTCAATATTTTTCTTAAAGGCACAAATATAAAGATCGAGATTCTAAAAATTTTGTTATATTTTGAATTGAGATTTTATAAATATAGGGACCGAGATTTTAATGTTATTCGTTGTTTTTAGGAAAAAATAAAAAAATAAAAGCATACACACTTAATAAATTTTAGCTGATTTTTTAAATAATAAAATGAACTAAAACCCAAAATTTAAAGTAGCATTTAATGTTGTATGATTTTTAAAGAAAAAATAAGATAAATAATAAAACTTACTATTTATAGGCAGCATTAAATTCTGACCTATTTTTTTGCTACTATTTTTAATAAATGGTAATTCTTATTATATACTCCCTCCATTTTGAAATATAAGGCGTATAAAGATTTCTCATTTTTTTTGAAATATAAGGCGCGCTCAAAAATCAAGACAAATTTTTGCATTTTTTTCCAAATATACCCTCATTGTGTTGAAATTAAGGAAGTGTGGAGTGGTTGTGATTAGAGTAAATAAGGTCAATTTAGTCAATTTATTCATTAATTAATGTCTCCTTAATATTTGTGCAATAACCTTAAATGCCTTATATTTCAAAATGGAGGGAGTATACTAGTACAGAGCCCGTGCGATTCACGAGTTGCACAATTTTAAGGCTATTTATCCAAGTTTATAATTATATACATGAATAAAGAAAAATATACGGGATATATATAGTACGTGACCCGTGCGAAGCACGAGATATATTTATTTAGAGAATATTATATTATAAGATGCAATATTCAATAAAAGTTTATAATACGCAAGAAAATTGTACAATGTTCAATAAAAGTTTTATAATATTCAAGTGGAGTCTTAAGGTCTCTTGTACATTAAGACTACTGACAAAATAATATTTTAATCAATGAGTTTCCTTTCCTTGTAGCCAAATTGTGAATGTGATTTGAGGAGTACAACAAATTGATATATAGCCGACTTGCTTTTTTCATTGTAGTTTTTTTTCTTTTTTTGTTTTATAATGAATTTAAAGATATTCTAAAATATAGCAAAAATTATTTTTTTTTATTACAATTAGGAATTTTACTAAATATAGACTTTCAATTTATGGTGTTAATCAACGTTTAAGTCTAAAAAATTAGGAATTTTTACCTCTTTTAATCAACGTTTAAGTCTAAAAAACAATAGAGTTATTATAAGTTTTTTCTACATCTTTTAAAACATTAAATATGAGCATGTTAGGTCTAGCTTGTAAAATAATTAATATATTATCTCACTAAAACATTTATACTAATAAAAATTTAATTTTAGGATATAAATTTATCCCTTGATATAAGAGAAAGTAACAGTTTTACTTATTGTTGTTCTCCATATAATATTTAATTATTATTTTATTATATAATAAAAAAGAAATATTGTTACATAGTGTAGTAGAATTGTTATAAAATTATATGATTTTTTTTTACAATATGGATTTAATATTTTTTTATGATTTGATAATATAAACAAATCTATACTTAACTTTGACAAATAAAACAAATAAATACTTTAGTAAGTATTTAATGTATATACTAAATAGGAATATATTTGTTATAATCAAATACCAAATATAATCAAATAAGTCAAAGTGTACATTTTTATTTGGTATTTAATTTTTTTATTATTAAAATCTTTTTATTATACTTACTTTTTTAAAATAAAATAAATAAATAAATCAATTAAATAAATAAAACATTATAATACCAAAATAGTAATGACATTTAATGCAGTTGACTTTTCTAGATAGTAAATGTAGTAAATAGAATCTCCTTTTATATAAGTATAGATATGATATTATATTATGTTGCTCAAAATAGTAATGCATTTATTGTATTGACTTTTCAACTTACTAAATTTCGTAAATGGTACACCTTATTATATAAGTATAGATTAGGGGAGTAAATGAGCCGACTTAAGTTCGTGATATTTGAGCTTGAGCCTATAACTAAGATGAGCTCGAGTTTAACTCGTTTATTAACATTAAAGATTTGAATTTGAACTTTAATGAATCGAGCCGAGCTCGACTGGTTAACTAAATAAGCTCAAGCTTGTTAACTAAGCTTTAAATAGAGGTACGGAGCTCAAGTTCAAACCTTAAGAATGTACAAAATTACAAATCGAACTGACCGAGCTCTTGAGTGACTTATTCCGTTTAAAAACTCTAATAATATTTATAAGTTGAAATGTCACATTAAAAAGATATAAAATAACAGGAGATTTCCTATAACAAATTTATATTTTTGTTAAAAAATAAAGCAATCGGTCCAACAATTATCCCCCTTCTCATACAATAATATATGAAAATTATAGTTAAACATTTTTAGTAAGGCATGTGGGAAACTTGGTGGTAGAAAAGATAATGGAGATGATTTTATTTAAAATGTAGATAGTCATAGCTAACCTTAAAATTTTAAATTAATTTCTATACATATTTTTTGTTAAAATGAATTATTAAGTAGTTATTTGTTAACTAGAATGTATTATAAAAATAAAAACATGTATGGGCACTTAATTCACTAATCACAAACGTGCCATTCTAAAGTCCAAACCGAAGAAGACAAGCTACTACTAGGCCAATTACATCTTAAGTTCGTAATGGGCAAGCGTACACTCTGTAGGCCCATAATGTACTGGGCCGATGTTAACCCAGACAAATTATCTGTATTATATTATCTACTCCATCTGTTAGGCATCCCCAAGCAAGGGGAGCATTATAGCAGCTTCGTCCCAGCTCTTTCAAACTTCTATTGCAAAGATGATTTGAGCTGTAAGCCATTTTTCGAAGTTGTAATTCGTATGGTTTGAGATGCAAATATGTGAATGTGGACTTAGCAAAAGCTTAATTTTTGTTGTATTATTGATTTTGGAATTAATTTATAGCAATTTGAGCTGATTTATTTCAGAAGTTTCGCTGTGTTTTGGTCAGTGGATCTCCAGATTCATGAGCTACTGTTCATCTGGTCAAGTTTTTGATTTTTTGTTCATGAGCTAACGAGTAAGCTTTTGTTGTCATTGAAATATCCAATCGATTGGAGAGAGATTTAGGCTTTCGATGCATGAGCTTGTGAGATTGTTGTAAATGTTTGATTTTAGACAAGAATGTCATTTACCCTAGAATTCTGTATGTATTACATCGTTAATAGGGTAAACGGATGAGATAATATTGCGTTGCATCATATTATTGAATTGAATAGTAGTTGTGTCTGATTCAGTGATTTATCAATATGAGTTAAAACCTGCTTTTTTTTGCTCTCAAATCGAAGAAAATAAAATAAAATTGTGTTCTCTTTAATCTTGTTTGTGTATATATTTCAAAGTACTGTTCATATGCATTTGCTTCGGAATGATAATGAGACTATGTAATAGTTTTTCAAAGTATTGCCCTTGTCACTACCTTCGCCAGAAATATCTTGATTTTTATGTCTTGTACAATTTTTGGTAATATGAGCTACTATTTAATTAGGGGTGAAATTTTGGATTTAGGTCTTCGATTGATCAATTAGGGTTTCAGTATGGCGTCCGATCAAGACTCTCCAACGGAAGCAACAAATCCTCCAGTCTTGTAATCCCCCACTTAGTTGTTTTTCTATTTTTTTTTTCTTCTTCCAAACAGATTGGTGTTATACAATGTATTGTGAAAATTCATATTTCGCTACTGCAGACCAAAGAATGTGTATAAGGACCCGGACAATGGCCGCCAGCGCTTCTTGCTTGAGCTCGAATTCGTTCAATGCCTTGCTAATCCTACTTATATTCATTGTGCGTATTTCTGTTCATATTCATCTGGAATTGGAGTTTTTGTTCTTTTGTTTTGGGGCAAGAGTGTTTTTTTTGTGTGTGTGTGTGTGTGTGTGTCTCTATTTCTCTCCTCCAGCCTGCAACCTCGGGAAACTGCAATATTTCTTGTTCTTGTTCTTGTTCTTTCTGTTTCCTGAGTCACTAGTCGTGGATTATTTCACATTTTATACATTATGGACTAATTTGCTAGCGTGAAGTGTTTTCGGACCAAAATTCCAGATTCTTGAAATGAAGAACTTCTACTGAATCTTAATTAAGTCGATTTTTGCCTTACGTTGCTGCAGATTTGGCTCAAAATCGGTATTTTGAAGATGAAGCATTTATTGGATACCTCAAATATCTTCAGTATTGGCAAAGGCCAGAGTACATAAAGTTTATCATGTGAGCACTTTTGATACAAAACTCGTTTTGACTTTTAAAGCTCAGTGCTTTGAATTGCCTTAATGTAATGCCTCGTGTTTTCTGCTCATAGACTTTTAGCTTACTCATTTTTTGTGCTTGTTGTAAGGTATCCTCATTGTCTCTTCTTTCTCGAGCTTCTCCAAAACCCGAACTTTCGAAATGCAATGGCACATCCTGCAAACAAGGTCTGTTACTCTTCTACTTTACGCAATTTGTTGTCATTGTGTATTTCACTAAGTACATCAGACAAATGCGAAGTGGAAACTTGTCATGAAATTGTTGTTTTTAGCGGGATCATTCATCTTCCCTGTGTTTCTACTTGGTGATTTCTTGCTAAGATCTGCCGCAATCTTATTAATTATAATATGGTCTTACCCTTATAGGAGTTGGCGCATAGACAGCAGTTTTACTTTTGGAAGAACTATAGAAACAACCGGCTGAAGCACATATTACCAAAGCCACTTCCCGAACCTCCGGCTTCTGTGGGCCCACCATCTTTGCCGACTACAGCAACAACATCTATTCCTCCAGTTCCTTCTCCAGCTATTACTCAAGCTCCTTCCCCTACGCAGTATGGCATGGGTCCCGGATCTTTCATGAAGAATGATCCGAGAAATAGTGGCGTTGATAGAAGAAAGAGAAAGTAACATATCTTGCTTCTCTATCTCTTTCAACTTCTTCTTCTTTTTTTTTTTAGTATCTGCAATTATCCATTTTATTTGCTCTATTAGGAAAGATATGATTATCCCTGCTAACCCTCCTAACTAACGGCCCTTACTTACATATTCGTGCAGGAAAGATGGGTGATTCAAACATTGCCTGGGAAGTGGGAATACAGCTTTTTAGTGGTTGTAATAGAATACAGCTTTTTAGGAGTTTTGTTATTAGCGCCTTTAG